GGCACCCCTAGTAGCGTCCTTGCTCCTAGCAGTAAGTCCTTGCTCCTAGTAGTAAGGCCAGGAGCACCTAGTAGCGTCCTTGCTCCTAGTAGTAAGCCAGGAGCCCCTAGTAGCGTGCCCCTAGTAGCGTCCTTGCTCCTAGTAGCACGGCCAGGAGCCCCTAGTAGCGTCCTTGCTCCTTGTCCGATGGGACCCTAGCAGCGGCCAGGAGCCCCTAGTAGCGTCCTTAGGCCAGGCACCCCTAGTAGCGCCTAGCAGTAAGTCCTTGCTCCTAGTAGTAAGGCCAGGAGCCCCTAGTAGCGTCCTTGCTCCTAGTAGTAAGGCCAGGAGCCCCTAGTACTGGGTGCTCGGGTTAACTTATCTCGAATGGCATGAACTTGTGCCAGATGAGGTGTGCCCTTGGGGGGAAGCTTGATTTGGCTACCTTTTTGTATGTATGTTGTTGATGATCGCAGGTTGAGAATTCGACCAAACCGCAAGGGCACACTATTGATTCTGTCTCAAGTTTTTGTACTCCCAAGTGCGTCGTAGTGTGGTGTGGTGTGGTGTCACAGTGTGATTTGCTTGCCGCAACTGCTTTGCAAGGACTTTCGCGTCTGGGGGGTTACCCTGGATAGGAGCTTCAAGGTGGTGCGAACATGAGGGTCAGAATCGGTGTGCCATGGGGGTTGGATCATGGCAGCCCATAGGACACCTTAGAACCCATCAACATGTACAAGATTGAATCGCAATGGAATGGTGTAGGTTTAGAAACAATCTAGGCTAGGAGAACAAGCGCTTGTTTCGAAGCGGTGTGCCATGGGGATTGGGAGAGGAAAACACGCAAGAATGAATAGATATGTTTGACGTCTACAGAACAATTCCATGCTGTTAGCACTCTATGTAGAAACTTAAAGCTGGTACCAACATGTGGGTCAGGATCGGTGTGCCATGGGGATTGGATCACCGCAGCCCACAGAAAACCTTAGAAAACATCAACATGTAGAAGATTGAATCGCAATGGGGTAGCGTAGGTTTAGAAACAATCTAGGAGAAAAAGTGTTTGTTTCGAAGCGGTGTGCCATTGTGTTTTCCAAATGGGGTAAGTTCTTACATTCGTGGGTAAGCGGTGTGCCATGGGTGTGGGTCAAGTTCATGTGCGATGGGGTAAGTAAGTTACCACGTCGGGTCGTAGCGTCCTTGCTCCTAGTAGCAAGGCCAGGAGCCCCTAGTAGCGTCCGTGCTCCTAGTAGCACGGCCAGGAGTAGTAGCGTCGTCCTTGCTCCTTGTCCCATGCCCTTGCTCCTAGTAGCACGGCCAGGAGCCCCTAGTAGCGTCCTTGCTCCTTGTCCCATGGCCAGGAGCCCCTAGTAGCTTCTTGTTCCTAGTAGTATGGCCAGGAGCCCCTAGTAGCGTCCTTGCTCCTAGTAGTATGGCCAGGAGCCCCTAATCTTCTTGTTCCTAGTAGTATGGCCAGGGGCCCCTAGTAGCGTCATTGCTGCTAGCAGTATGGCCACGGACCCCGAGTAGCTTCTTGTTCCTGGTAGTAAGGCCAGGAGCCCCTAGTAGTGTCCTTGCTCCTGGTAGTATGGCCAGGAGCCCCTAGTAGCTTCTTGAGTAGCGAGGCCAGGAGATGCTAGTGGCGTCCTTGCTCCTAGGAGTAAGGCCAGGGGCCCCTAGTAGCGATGCCCTAAGACAAAGGCTGGATCTGGAAACGAAACTTTTGGGCGCCTTATTCGTTTCTTCTTGCTGGTGTACTTTAACACAGGAAGATTTGACGGCTTTAGGGATCTAGATGCAAGCAACTTGCCTTTCAGTAGCAATTCGCAGTTTAAACTGCCTGCATTTCGGATTTCTTAGTTGCACTATTGGCTTGTAGAAGTGAAGACACCCGAGTTTTCAAGTTCCATTTCTGATGATGGGGGACTAACAAGATCCAACGAGTATCGGGATCGGGTTCATCGGAAGAACTTCCAGCTATTCAGCGCTGAGGCAGAAAAGCTGTTGAAAGTCTTGGAGAGCTTAGAGATTGAAGGCATTTTGCGCCTCTTGGAGATGCCTGGCTTGAGACACAGATGCCACCTGCTGCGGGTTCTTCTTGCCCACCCATGTGCTTGCTGGGCAAGCGAAATGTTGGGAGTTTACGATAAAGCGCTGGAGTCAAACTCAAAGAGTTTTTGGCCAAGGAACACCAATGCCGACTTTGTCGTGCGTCTCTTCAATGGGCCGCTGGACTCGGAGCCTTGGCCGACTCGGCTGACGCAGGGGGGACCGACTGGGCTTGAGCCTCATGCTGTTGGTGTTTTTGGTCATAGATATGTCATGATACTGGCATATGCATGAATCCTGAGTTGGGGACATGGTTTGCGATGGAGGTGAAGCTCCAGCCCAGCTGATTCGGTGGGCGGATGTTTCAATGTATACAAACACTCGGAGTGTGATGATTTGTGTGATGAAGCTATTTGTGTGATGAAGGGCCACGCGAGAATGTTTGCGCTGATGGTTTGTGATGTGGAGAAGTGTAGTGTGATGAAGTGTATTTCTGTGGTCTATGACGTGGTGAAATGCCTTTGGATCCTTTTTTTCCAGCAATCTCTACTCTCGTTTTTTGTCTCTAGAAGCCCAACTTTCGGTTACTTTCCCTTAAACACCTCTACTCCTTGATACTTGTCCCCCAAAAGAGCAAAGCGGTGCTTTTGGATTCCTCTTTCATCGCACAAGCATGTTGGGGACCCTTTGCCCAATCAGCCTTCAGGACATAACACATGGCAGCACAATCAGACAATCTTTTTGGGCCCGTGCTTTGGACAACAGCAAACTAGCTGTGACTTGTACAAGAGCCCTGGGCAATCGCGGGGCAAAGCAGCGCTCTTTTCAACAGTTGTCACGCACTCTACTCTGCCCACCCTCAGTCCAGGAAAGTCTCACGGTTGACTTCCTTGGAACGCTGCTGCGGAAAACCAGGAATCACGTCCAGCCTGAGATGTTCAGATTAAAGAGCCGGACAACCCAACATGTCCAGGTGTTAGAGTAGAGCAGAACATTGGAAAGCAGAAAGCACAGGATGAAGAGAAGCGGATTGCATGGTAGGATGCATTCGGATGTGTGTGTTTGTGTATACTGTCTGTGTATACAGAGAAGGACAATACGATTCGAATTTTGACAAGAAGTTTTGGGGTTTACAAGGATTGGTTCATGTGATCGCTAAGTTGGATAAGTTGGTGTGATTGGATTGGATGACATGATGCGTGATGACGTGTGTAGTAAATGCTATGGTGAAGAGGAGGCTAATGAGGAATAATGATGATGAAGGTGAGATGCCGCTTTCACACATCGATTTTTTCACCTTCATACACGAAGATCTGACAAGCAACACGCCCAAAAGTTGCACATCAAAATCCGAGCTGTTTTGACAGCAGCTCATGTGCACCAACAGGTGCAGTTTCGGAAGGCAAGTGTGGAGTTTTGGCATCAAGCTTTTGGGCTTTGCAAGTAATGATTCATGCCTGAGTTGAGTTGATGATGTGACACTTCTTTTTTGTGTGAGTTGAGTTGGTGCGCAAGTGAAGGAGGGTGAGGTGAGGCGGTAGGAGCAAGGACGCTACTAGGGGCTCCTGGCATCGCTACTAGGAGCAAGAAAGCTACTAGGGGCTCCTGGCCGTACTACTAGGAGCATCCGTACTACAGACAAAACATATGCGGAGCACATGGCACTCTCGATTTTCCGCAGCCCTGCCAAGCCTGAAAGTCTCCGAACTTTCAGTGTCACAGTGCGTCCTGACTCTTCGGATATCCGTGTTGCATGTCTGGCACCTCCCGAACGCCTATCAGGCCTATCACTAGTACCACCATGCCAACTGCAGCTTTTGAACAGTTCATCCCGCTTGTTCGTGCCTTTCGTGCCCAGGTGGTGCAAACGATGGCAGGCAGCGTGGCGGATGTCTTGGCGGATCGGACAATTGCAGAGCTGGTGAAGCACAGCACCAACACGCTCCAGGTGCCCGGAGCTTTTTTTTTTTTTCTGCAGCCATTTTGGTGTCTGCAGCCATTGTCGGGTGACCCGACAAATGAAGATGTATATTTACCATACGCATGGATATGTGCTTAGCGGCTTCTCCAGCACCTATTCAAACAGAGTTGGTTGATATTATACCGCACCATCTCCAAGAACAAGTTCGATTACATCATTTGTGGTGTGGACCAAGAAAGCCCTGTAAAAAAGGAGTTTATGTTTGTATATATGAAGAAAACGACAATGATTGAAGAACAGGACTAATTGCACATCCAAATGGTCAAGTCTGGCAATATCCTGTAAGCTTCAGTAATGGCATTTGGCAGGCTTGATTTGCTACTTCACTTTTAGTTCACAGTTGGCTTTTCCTTGATTTGTTTGTCCTAGTAGTGCTTGGCTTCTCCTCCTCACCTTTCTACTCGATGTCTTCTCGCTGCATCTCATTTGGCTCTTCCTGTCTGTTTGTGGTTCCAAGCCAAATAAAGGAAATATACTGTATTGTCTTTATACCTTTTCAACATCTCTCAACTCTCAACCTTCAATTACTTGTTCTCCTTCCTAGCTAGTTCCAGTTCGTCCGATTCGCACCATGGCCTTCCAGTTCTTTCTATTCCTTTGGTCCAGTAGATTGTCTATTTGTTGCTGAACTCTTTTTGCTATTTTGACAGTTTTCTGTAATTCGTATGAAGAGTAGTGGCAATACTGAGAAAGGATAGACAGAGCTAGAACCAATACTAAAAGGAGCTAGGCAAGATGTGGAGCTCCTCTTCCTCTAACTCAGCTATTCAGCTCTTCCCACTTACACACTCGATGTCCAATTATATGTTTTTCTCTAACTCTTGCACTCTTAAGAAGTTCTCCCTAGTCACGCTGGCCTTTTTCTCTTGCCCCAGCTGATTCTAATTGTTATCGTCATGCCCTTCCTTGTGCTTTGATATGCTCTTTCCAAGTCCTGCCTGCTCTGACTTTACCTTTTTGTTTTAGTAGCTTTTATTTTTATCTTTCAGCTCCTGCTATTCTTTAATTGCCCTTCTCCTTTTTGATTCGCTTCTTCCTTTTGAACAACTTAGGAGCAAAATGTGACGCAAAAAGGCTACCTGAGAAAGTGACAAAACCCAGGGAGAGGTGGCCAAGAGAAGACACAGCACCTTTTGGTCAAACCAAACCTTCGATTTGTAAGATTTTCTTGTGCTTTTTGGTTTCACGGCCGATATTTGACATCCACGCAGGTTCGCTTGATATCGTGCTGATTTTCTAATGGACATGTCTTGTACAGTTGTACATACACTGTGAGTTTTACCACGGTCTTTTCAGTGTCTTTGCACTACAATGACTAGGTCAGATGTGAAATGTGCGCAATCTTGAGTGGCTTGAAAATAGGTCCTGCAGGGGCCGCTGACCATGTACATATATATGTAATATATATATATATATGATTATATATGGGCATATATGATGAAGGATTTGGAGGCGGGCAACACCATGTTATATTCTGTGTGTGTGTGCGCGCGTGTGCATAAGAAGCACATGTCTTTGAGCCGTTCTTTGGGGCATATGCAAAGACACGGATGCATACTTGTTTAATCCTATTTCTTAATATGTATTGTAATGCATACATGATACACCTAAGGCCACATATGCGTTATAGATAGACCGACCATATGCATATTCATCGAAGGAATTTTTGGAGGAGAAACACTTCTGAGTTCCGGAGACAATAGAGTAGCAGTACACATGCCAACACATCACTGCGCCCAAAGTCACATTCTGAAATTGTCCCTCGCATCGCACGGAACGTTGCACCCCGTTATGATCGTTGGACGCTTCTGGTGTCTTTTTATGGCGTGTAAGGTGAAGTGAGCGAGTATAAGACTCTGTGATGTTTAATGTTCCAAGTGGAAGCAAGCCAACCGATCCAGGTGGGCTCCAGAAAAGGTTCCAAGGTTGTGGAAGGGTTTGGAAGGTTCTAGAAGCTTCCAAGCCTACAGACAGATTCCAGGTTTCCGTGAGCAAGTGCGGATCCAGGTTCCAAGCGAGGTGAATGAAGGTTGGGACAAGGCGATAGAACCCAGGACTGATTTCACTGATTCAGGCTGGCCTTGCGAAGGCCGACGATGTGCTGGCACGTGGGCAGCAGGCCGAAGGGAGAAGAGAAGGGAAGGGAAGCGCAGCCAAGCCGAAGTTGCGCAAGAGTTACCGTGCAACTTGCAACTTGACGTTGCCCAACCTGCTGTTTCGGCATAGTTGGGGTGCATTTGTTTCAGCCTGCGATGTGCTTCCAACTTGACAATAGAAGCAGAACATTTTTGTACTGTTTCCAAGATGTCATTTGGTGCCTTTGCACTTCAATCATTTTTGTTTTGCAAAAGGAACCATACGAAGAAACCAAGCCAACTGAGCCATGGCCAGATGGACCAACCTTTTACTGCAAGCAGCCCTGCTGATCACCTCAGCTAAGAGCCTTTGTGGAGATGATGCTGATTGCCAACATGCTGCGGCCACGAAATTTGCACCTGTGTTGAGACTTGACAAGGAGACCTTGTCTCAGGACAGATGTTTGCCAGGACATCCTGCCACAGTCTATTATGAGCGAAAAGCTGGTAATCAGGACGTCATATGTGAGTCCAACCTTACAAAACTGGAAGCAGGAGAAGTGCCTTTGTTCTACCATTACAAGGAGTGTGGCTCGGACGTGGTGGTGATCGACTATTTCATTTGGTACAGCCACCAGAGAGAATGCCTCAAGATCGAAGCAGGTGGTCTTATGAATGAGGCCTACGGTGAACACAAGGCTGACTGGGAGACCGTGGCTGTTCAAATCCAGTATGATGAAGTGAAACGAGTCCGCTTTCACCAGCACAGTGGCGCATACTCCAAATCACCAGACCAGGTCACCTTTGTTGACAGCACTCACCCCGTGGCCTATGTGGGTCTGGACAGTCATGGCTCCTATCATGATGAAGGTGGGACGGGGAACTGTTTGTATTTTCAGGACTACCGGCGCTTTGACGACAAGAGCTTAAAACTAGAAGGCTGGAAATTCCTCATCAATGCGAAGAACAAGAGCCAGGATTTACCAGAGTGGTTTGATGGTAGCCGAGATTTCTATGATGGCTTCCCCAACCCTAGCAACAAGGGCAACGCCTGTCGGACGCCTTCTTGTTCCGGCGTGGATTCATGGATCGAGCTCACCGGGGTGTGCACAGGTACATCTTGTGGCTGTCGTAAGAGTGATTACTGTAATGACATTGAGTTTGGCTCTGTGAGTGGTAAAAAGCCATGTGACGACTCTCTCATCAATGATATTACCAACAAAGGCAAGGACCTTGGGTCGCGAGTCATTGGCGGCCTGAGGGACTCAGCACAGGTCAGCGGAGCAACTTCGCTTCACCTGGGTTTCGCAGTGATCTTGGTCCACTTGGGCCGTGTGCTCTAGAACTCGGCGAGGGTCGAGTTGTGGCACCAGTGCCAAGGGGCACGATGCCGTTCCCAAACTGCGGCGAAGCTGCTGGCTTTTGGCGAGACACGTATCGAGGGTCGCTGTGGCGCACCCGAGCAACGACACCCCAGTCGACGCCGGAAAGACCTTGGTGATCTTTTCACCCCGCTTGGGGGTGGAAGGTGAACGTTTCATGAGGGCTTGGGCTTGGAAGACCCGCACCCCATGTGAAGTTTGGCATCAGTCTGCCAGGCTCGAGGCGCGGAAGGTGATGGATACAAATTTGGTGACTTCACAGTAGGCGGGCGGGCCTGGAGGAACTGGACAGGTATCTTTCAGAAAGGTGAATGTGAGCGGAGCGGGACTTGAGAGTTCCAGGAAAGAGACAAGGTGTCAAGTCCAGCAGAGCATCTCCCCCATTTTTCAGCGCTGGCGGGGCTCTCCCTGTCCAGGGCTCATCTCCATGGCCGTGGGCCAAGAGAGCTTAGAACGTGGCCGAGAACTGATGGAGCAGCACATGGAGAAGGCCAAGCAGCACAGCAAGCCAATCCAGGAAGGTGTGCTGGGCGAGTGCTGGGCTGCGGTGGAAGAAAGCAGGGTGGCGAAGAACCGGTGGTTTTTCATCGGTGAACAACATGACATGTCTGGTGGGATTCTCCAAGCGGACTCAGCAGTTGGTACAAGTTGGCACCCAGGTTTGAGCGATGTGAGGATGACATGATCATGCATTTGACGAAGAGTAGGAGATCATTCAGTTGAAAGAAACCTACCTCAAGTGTTCACCAGACGCCCCGAAATCCTGTGCCGCTTTGCCAGGTTGGGAGGCTTTGCAGAAGGACGTCGCTGAGAAGACTGAGAGTATTCAGAGCCCCAGCGATATGGAGTTGTTAACTTGCAAGCCTTGCGGGTCCAATGTACTCAATGTACCCCAACACGGTTCGGTTTTTTCAAGTAGATAAAGACAGAGACACGCAGATTTCCAACCTTTATGGACAAGTTCAAGCCTTCCAACAGAACTGTTGACGGGCTGAGGCAGAATCTGCATGAATCCTTGGGACAAAACGCTCTGAAGATTCAAGCGGGTTTGGCTCGAGGCGGGCTGTGAGAAAGACCCCTGTATTCTTGGAGGGAGAAGAAGCCGTTGAAACCGTTTCGAGGCGCCGTACAGTGGTAGACTCTGGTAGACAGGGGATGTGAAGATCTCACCCCAGCGGGATGAACCCCCGACCGCACCGGGACTTTAGTTCGCTCGCCTCGAATGCCCGGTGAGGTCGTGAGAAGCTTTCTACCTTGAGCTGCAGCAGCGGGACAGCCTATACCAAGGGGCTGCAGGACGACATTTGGGTAGTGGCAGGATGTTGTTCTCATAGGTTTGAGACCCACCTTCAAGCGCCTTCGCGGCGTGGATGAGCATCCCTTCTCTGACGCTTGGGTTCTGGTTGTTTTTCGCGAAATAAATCTCATTTATGTGTAATAACTTGTGCATAAGCTTGGAGGTGAGGTTGTGAGGTGAGGTTTGAATGACAGTTGCTCCCCTTGTCCATTTTGGGCTCAAGGCCAAGGACAGGGGGAGGCATGTAGTGTCTTCGAATGGACGACTTTGTGGTGTTCCTCCTGGTCCTGTGGCTCACTGGCTTTCTCGGTGGTTGGATCGCCCGTGCTTGGTGGGTGGGTCGTGGACCTGTGGCATTCGACGTGTGCCCTAGCCCTGTGACGCTGCGGGCCTTTGCGGCTTTTCATGACAAGCTCGGTTCTCCCCACACAAAACGAGCTCGCAGGCATCACAAACCTTGAGGAAGCCAAGAGATGGGCCGGTGCTCGCGACCCTTCGTGGACCGCTTGGCAAACTGCTGTCGGCCAGGTCCCAAACCGTCGTGTTTTGGCGAACATCGCCCCCAGTGCCAACAGAGAAACCTTGTCTTTGGTGCGAATTCCCTCCACGACTGGGGGAGATCCCCGAGAGCTTTCGGTGGTGGAGGCCATTCAGTTGGCGTTAGTTTGGAGGGTGGCACGACAAGCTTTTGGAATGGAGGACATCGACCCGCTTGCAGACCTTGGGCAGTCCTTCATCACCTGGAGCATCATCGGGTGCAGCCCCTTCCGCAACACCTGCAAAGAAGGTCAAGGCGGCATCGGTCCTAGACCAATTGGACGAGTCAGAGATCCCACTATTGAGTCAAGCACAGCTGGACGAAGCATATCGATTCCATGCAGAGATCACAGGTGCGGATCCGCCAGCCGATGCGGAGCCAACTGGAGAGCAAATTGCTGCCCTTCGTGCGAGGGTAGTCGATCGTGGGGAGAGTCCCTACGCAGACTTCAGTGTCCTCACACCCTTCGGCAGGAGGGTGCAGAAACAGATGAAGGCCAGATCGTGGATGGCGTGTAGTGTCTTCGAAAACCCACCCCCCCGCACCTTTGTTGAGTCTTCCCCCTCATCTCTTCCTTTCGTCACGAGATGACAGTGGCATCGTTTCTGCATGATTGAGTTGAGCCCGCAGTGCATAGGAGATGCTACTAGTAGGACACACCAGTGTGTGGAGTCCCGGCCCCTGCACGTGCCTGGAAGGCCCGGAAGTGGGCAATGGGAAATCTACACGAGCAGGCGCGTGCGAGGTGTGAGGGACATGTGTGGTCCTTTGAGCTCAGTCAGAATCAATCATGCCCTTCTTCCACCACTCTGTGAGAAAACAAGATTGTGCGTTTCATTGTTAGGGTTGGAAGGGCGGGGGTTTGCTTGTGCATTCATGTTATTCAAAGGAGCAGGGAATGAGGAAACGCTGTGATCGGCGCGGGCGCGGTTGTGCGCAGCACCCGACCGTATCAGAACCTGTTTCAGGCCAATGAGGCAGCTGTTGAATTGCACTGTTAAGAGTTCAACAACCTTCACACGACTCATCACGGGCAAATGGCATGAAGATGCATGAAGCAAATAGGTGTGTTTGCAAGATCAAGTGCGCTGCCGGACGACCTACATGAGTTTGAGGGAGTGTGTATGTGTGTGTGTGGTGGTGAAACCCTTGGAGTCACAGGGAATCCGTGGATTTGTTTCTCCTTTCTTTTTGAGTTCTTTTCTTGACAAAGAGCAGGGGGATGGAGAGGACGTATGAGGCTCCATCCAACGAAGCTCCTCATACGATCCTATGATATCCTAGGAATCCTAGGATATCATCAGGGACGCCTGATGACGTACCTGCTTTGTGATGACTTCTCATTCACCACAGGGCCCCATTCCAACTACAACAAGCTTGCCAGCCTTTGCATCGGCCGTGCACTCCGCAGTCACACGGTTGCCACCTTTGAGCTGTACGAGATTCAGGCTTTGGAGGTCTGGAGGCTTTGAGATGGTCCAGCCGCTTTACATACTGCCCGTTTTACTCAGGCAATTTTGTCACTTAGGCTTCTTCAGGGCTCTCGGCGATCAGTCCAGTATGCAATATCTTGAGTGTGTCTAGCTTAATGCCAGCCCAGGGTGTACCCGAGGAGTGTCCCGTGTGGCCTTGCTAGGCAAGGTTTTGTTTGTGTTTCCACTGCCCGGAAACGTACGTGTCCAGAGCGGACAGCAAGCAGGAGGTTTAAGCCAAAGTTCATTGCCAAGATCTCATGAGTTATTGAATTTGAGTCGGCAGCTTTCGAGAAAGCCATTAGGTGACCAGAGCGGTCTTGAGTAGGCTTAGCCGAACGTGGTCGCAGCGACCGAAGCTTATCAAGGTCCATTGGGACCGGTCGCTAGGTGCACACACAACGCGTACAGCTTAAACGAGGCCAGGTCTACCTAGGCTTGTTCCCCACATTGACGTGTGGGGCTATTGTCTTTAGTGTGGTATCCGCCCAGCACTCCGCCGCCCTCGTCCTCGTCGCTCCTCACCAAGAAATTGCCACCAACTAATGGTCACCAACCAATTGCCACCAACAAACTTCCACCAACCAATTGCCGCCCACGAATTGCTACCAACCAATTGTCACCAACCAATGTCATCAGCCAATTGTCATCAACCAATTGCCACCCACCAATTGTCACCCACCAATTGTCATCGACCAATTGCAACCAACCAATTGTCACCCACCAATTGCAACCAACCAATTGTCACCAACTAACTGCCACCCACCAATTGCTACCAACCAATTGTCACCAACCAATGTCATCAACAAATTGTCATCGACCAATTGCCACCCACCAATTGTCGCCAACCAATTGCTACCAAGCAACAGCCTCCAACAAGCTTCCACCCACAAACTGCTACCAACCAATTGCCACCAACAAACTTGCACCAACCAACTGCCACCAACAAACTTGCGCCAACCAATTGTCCCCAACCAAGTGCTACCAACCAATTGTCACCAACCAATTGTCTTGGCGTTCTCCAAGGGTCGGATGTACGCCCTGGTGCTCCTGGGTCGCCGCTGCTGCGCGGGTGTGATTTGCGTGGCAGGCGCATCATTTGGTGCTCTCCAACGGGTCGGATGTACGCCCTGGTGGTCGTGGGGCGCTGCGTGGGTGTGATTTGTGCTCCTGGGACGCTGTGTGTGTGTGATTTGCGCGGCAGGCGCGGCGCTGGGCGCTCTCCGACCCCTTGACGTACGCCCTGGTGCTCGATGTTTCGCCGCTGCTGTGTGAGTGTGATTGGCATGGCAGGCGCAGCGCTTGGTGCTCTCCAAGGGTCGGATGTAGGCCCTGACGTCCGTGGGTCGCCGCCATTTGCCACCAACCAGCTGCCACCAACAACTTGCCACCAACCAATTGTCACCAACCAGTTGCCACCAACCAATTGTCACCAACCAATTGTCACCAACCAAATTTCCACCAACCAATTGTCACCAAACACTAGGCTAGGTTTTCCCAGGTTTGCTTCAATGAAGTTTGGTTTGTCTTCGTTGTTTTCCGGCCCCTCCGTTTGGTTCCCCTTTCCTCCTTCCCCTCACACACAGTGCTTTTCTTTCTTCTTTTCATGTCTTCTCCGCTTTCATGTCCGGTCATCTCACTCCTTTCTTTCTTTCTTTCTTTCTGTTTGTCTGTTTGTCTGTCTGTCTGTCTGTCTTTCTTTCTTTCTTTCTTTCTTTCTTTCTTTCTTTCTTTCTTTCTTTCGCGCGCACATCGGTCCGGCCCTTAGCCTATACGTGAGGTCGGCCAGGTGGTTATAATGAGATCTGCCTCATTTGGTTGTCCCTGTTCACTTGGTTCCTTTTCATTGCAACCACATACACTGTCCTGTCTTGTCTTCCTCTCATGTCTTCATCTTTTTGTTTTCTGCGCGTGCGGGCCTGCGCCTTAGTCTGGGCCCTAGTTCTAGCTTTTGGCCCCCCGGTGTGTGTGTGAAACCCCTGGAGTCACAGGAGCCTTTCGATTGTTTGCAGGGGCAACCTTGTGAGCGTAGCTGGTTGCCCAACGAAGAGGGCCATGCCACGACTGATATGGAGTCTGATCAACCCCACGTACCTGCTTTCTTTCGAACTGTTGACCAAGCGGTGACTCCACTCTCCTGTAAAGTGCTAATGAGTTCTGCAGATGTGAACGTTCGTTGTCATCTTTCTTGTCGCATCACGATCATCGACTTTGAACCTTGAGATTGTGGGCCTTCCCCTTTTTGGCCTGGACCTCCAGGATGCTCAGACCCCCTTGCGTGACTTTCTCAGGAATATGGTTACTTAGGTCACCGCGGGGGGAGTGGATTTCAGTTCCGGACGAAATTTCCTGAGTGTGTGCCCACAAAGGGCATGAGGCACTAACAGACTGGACCCTCAACTTGCGAAGAGTGATACAAAACATTTCTGGTTGTGAAGTGTTTCCTTTTTTTCCGCACTGACTGATATTTTGTTCGCTTTTGGTATCTTCTGGTTGCTTGCTGCTTCCTGGCTTGGACGTTCTGCTTCGTACCGCACGGACGCAGATTTGACCAACTGTTCAGCAAAAAACAACGTGCCCTGTTTTGCTTTTGGGTTCTCGGGTTCACCTTGTTTCATTGGAATCAGATGGGTGTGCACATTTGCGAGTTTTGATCTGGCCCCAATGCAACCCCTTGTCCGAAAAAGAGTAGTGTAACGTAAGAATTCAACGATTACATTCAAAACCTTTGCCTTTAAACTGTCAATACACATCGCCAGTCGGCAAAAAGGCAGGCAAAGCGCGTGGGGCAATATTGGTGATAAATCCCGGACAACTCAAGACACAGTCTTTCATTGATGTAGGCATAAGCATAGGCATAGGCATAGGTCACTACAGGTTTGGTAAAACTGGAATGGATCAAACAATCGTTTTGCGAGTTGCAAAGAGGGTGCCTTTGTTGAACAATTTCTTGGTTGGAGTTGGTGGCTGGGGCTCAGCTGCTCCGAGTCCTTCCTTAGTGTTGGCATCAGGTAGGTGAAGCAGAGATTTGCCTAGATTCTTTGAGGTAGCTGGGTGCCTCACACTTGTGATTCGATTTGGTACCTTTTTTCAGCTGTGGAGATTTGGCAGTGCAAGGCAAACCATTCCCGACATCCCCCACTGGTATTTTCGGGTTGCACTTAGCTCCCCTTCTCAGGAGGAGGAAGTCTTTGACTTTCCAGAGCCACGGTGAAAAGGGTTTGCTTAACGCGGGTTGCGCTGTCGTGTGAAACTGCACTGCCATGCCACGCCACGTGAACTTTGCCGCAGCTAAAGGCCCTCAAGCTGGTGACAACGTGTTGAGGTCTACCCATGAGTGGTGGAGCAAGCTGAGCTAGCTCTCCTAGCAGTCCTGCAAAGTTCCTATTCTGACTGCCACTCGTTTTTTTCTTTGGTAGAAGTGAGACGCTTCTGTAGATCTGTCCTCCCCCGCAAAGACTTGGAATTGTTTAACCCAGAATGGGACCTTTGTATTGGACACTGCCCTAAGAGAGTATGCGTGGACAATGATGGTCAACAAGGGTCATCAAGGGGCCTCTGCTAAAAGGGTCTAAAACGTCATGATCCATGGCTTTCCGGGTACCGGTCCCCAGCCCTCGCCAGTTGCCAGTCACCTTTGTCCGACTCCAGTAAAACAAAGCAGTCCATCTACACGAGAGCTCCGCGCCGATGGAGTGAGATCTTTAAGATGGCTTGAGCATGATCTACCTCACCAAGCGGCGCTCCCGGCAGGGCTGGGAAAGCGACGAGCCGAAGCCTGAGGAGAAAGAGCAAAAAGCACCTAAAGGAGCGAAAGAGAGTGAAAGGGCGAAATGCCACGAATGGGGGAATGAAGATGAAGAATGGTGGGAGCCTTGGGAAGATTCAGCTCGCAAGGAGACCTGGAGTGGGGATTGGGAGGATTGGAAGGGGCAGGGCCGTCCTGGAGCCTGGACAGCCAGTCAGTCCAGTCAGGCTGTGGCACCCAAGCCGAAGGCGCGCCCCAAATTCCACTCGGACATGAGCCACTCAGGCGTGGTCAATGCGCAGGATCCATGGACGGGGCATCTTTTGATCGATTGCCCAGCTATCCAGCAGCTTTACCAGCACCCTGCCATCATTCTGCCTAAGCACAACACCTCGAATGTCCGCCTCGGTTCGATTGTTGTCTTCCGGGTGCAGCCTGAGGGGGGTCTCCCTGTGGCCTGCGACATTGCGGTCAACGGCTTTGACATCGAAGTGGGTCAGCGCCCGGACAAAGTCCGGGACGACCACTGTGATGGGGCCGGTTTCCTGCCGGCTGAGCGGATACGAGAGATGGGAATCAACCTCCCAGTACCAAATGGACCTGGGAAAGCGCTTGGGAAAGGGAAGACAGGGGGCAGGCACTGCTGAAGTGCGAAAAAGATCCGCATGTGCATGGTTTGGCTGCACGTTTCGAAGAAAAAAGAATCCCTTTGTCAACTCTTCCTCTGCCCCCGCCGTGAACCGCACTGACTGAGGCCTACCAGCAACTGGTGAAGGGGCCAAGCTATCGCCCTCCAAAGCTCCAGGATCGTGCCGGGCACCCAGACGGGATCTCAATCTTCAGAGCAAGGAAGAAAGCTGTCTTGAGCACTTGTTCTTCAAACCAACTTGTGTCTTGTTCAGGTTGACCAGTCTCATTCTGTTTCCATTCGGTCCTTGGCTCCTTTCTTTGAGGTCTTCTTCGTCACTGGTCTGGTGCTTGTGAAGCTATGCCTTCTGTCGCAAAACATGCAAAGTTTGCATTTTGCGCCCGCTTCTTCGACCGATTGCTCGGCTTCAATACAAAGGTCCAAAGGCTCAGGCCGCGCCACCCTAATACTAGGAGCAAGGACGCTACTAGCGGCTCCTGGCATCGCTACTAGGAGCAAGAAGCTATTAGGAACAAGAAGCTGCTAGGGGCTCCTGGCCTTACTACTAGGAGCAAGGACGCTACTAGGGGCTCCTGGCCACGGCGGTTTGCCGTCGACTCGGTGAATGACCCAGGTGCCAACTCTGGGATTGGCTTCGAAGCCAGCAAGGCGGCTGGACGCTTCCAAGGTGATCATGGTGACCTCACGGTTTTTTTGTTGACCATTTAGATCCATTTGGCCATCTTCTGGTTCTAGCAAGTGGTGTCAACTTGGTTGTGAAAGGAAATTCATAAACATTTTTGGTAAGCCTCAATCAGGGTCCGAAATTGACACACAAAGTTAAATCAGTATAGTATAAGTTTGTAAAGACAGTAAAGAAGTCAAGGCACTATTACTGTATACTCGTTTGGGGAGGGCTAGCTGTATCTCAATCTGTTTGTTTGGTGTATTTTTTGCCTTCCTTTTTAACCTCTCGCTTCTGTGGCTTCGTGGCTTCGTGGCTTCTTGGCTCGCTCGCTCGTTCTCTCTCTCGTGCCCCTGGTCTCTTGGTCCTTTGGTCCCTCAGTCCTCTGGGTCCTGTGTTTCCTTGGTCCCTGGTCTCCCTAATCCTGAGGCCACTCTCCCTTAAGCATGTGGGCCCATCGAAAAAGCTTCCTTGAACCCCATAAAGGAGCAACCTGGCAAAACCAAGAAACAACAACATATTCCCCCAAAGGAGCAAACATATTCCAAAACTGGCATTGCAGCCCTTTGTTTTGGGCCACGCCGTGCGACTCTTTCAACCATCGGTTCCTTTGCTTGGCGGAACCAGAGGCCTTTGCTCTGGCAGGGGCCACCGTAGTCTTTGGCTGCCGAGATCAGAAGCGAGTGCGCCTGTGGGATGTGCGACCGCGTGCGACGTGTGCGAGGCGTGACAGTTGCTTGAGGGTGTCTAGTCTACTCCTCGGTGTTTCAATTTGCTGCATCGGGTTAGGGTAATTCCACCTTGCTTGATCTGTTGAAATGGGGAGGCTCCCAACCAACTTGGATAATCCAGAGGCTGATGACTTGTAAATCCCAGTTGGACAACTCAGGTGAGCGCACGAATGTTCTTTGCCAATGAAAGATTTGTTTTCAGATGTTTTCAGTAAACAAAGTCTTTCACAGGACGCTCGTCACACAGATGAATGTATCTATGACGCTTCAGGCACCCCCAATGCAATCAATCACTATAGTTGACTCATGCATATATAGTGTGCATAGTTATATCAGTGTCCCTAAAAATCTAGGAACCAAACGCATAGTGAGCTATCCTGCGCCCATATGTATGTAGTAGGCTGGGCGGGCGTAGACGGCCGGGGCATTTTGAGCACTTTTTTGCGAAATCCGTGTGGTATTTACAGCACTTTTTGTGTGTCCGCGGACAAACGGGCGCAAAGTAGTTTTTCCGAACCAAAAATAACTGGACTTCATACTTGCGATATATCCACAAACCCTAGCCCCAATGGAATTTCAATAAAAATACGTTCTGCAACTCATGCAAATGGCCACAAAACACCACGGCCATCTACACACGCCGGACCATGTAGTAGCTACTTAAGCTACTAGCTACCTAGCTACTACTAGCTACCTAGCTACTACTAGCTACCTAGCTACTACTAGCTACCTAGCTACTACTAGCTACCTAGCTACTACTAGCTACCTAGCTACCTCTACCCGCCTACCACCCCTTTAAAACAGTGATATATATATATATAATATATATATATATTATAGACTAACTATATGATGGCCATACGGTGTGTTGGACCGGTTGTAGAGCTTTCGACCTGTCCACCCCCAAGTGACCTATGCACTGATTCGGTCGAGGCCACGACCGCCATGCGGGCGCTTGTGACGGAGGGTGTCTCCGAAGCGCAGCTGCATTTTTTGTCACTTGGAGATGGGATGAAATTTATGACATAGATTCTTGAGAGCGGTGTTTGATGAGTGAGATGTGGTGATGAATACTGAGTGTTTTGGAAGAAGTAGACACCTGATATGAACCTTGTAGCAGTCTCTTTTTGGCGAAAAGGGGGGGCCTTGGATTGAAATTCGACACATCCATCTCGGTGCGTTGGTTTGCTTTTCCGTCGAACAGTATGGGGCCATAAAAAAGAGTGCATCGCTAGTAACAAAGATAACAAAGGAAAGTGACTGGTAACAAAGGAAAGTGAGGCCCCCCCGAGTCGAACCGATCCTTCTCCGAGGCCGCTAGACTTGACCTCCCTCCAGTCGGTGCGGAGGTGGGACGTGACGGTTCTTCGGTGTCGGAAACGACCAATGCCCTAAGGCCCTGGTGAAATGTGTCCGATCCACAAGGTTTCTTGCTCGGCTTCTGGGATTGTGGGCGCATGTAAAACGAGGGAGTTGGGAGGCATGGTTTCTTGGCTGAACATTGAACATGCACATCCCACTTGATTCCTCAAAACCAAGAGCCACGATCGGCCAAAAGCATGAGACAACCAGGGGGCCAGCATTTTGACCATGGCGTTCTCGGCCGTCAGATGAAAGGTGTGCTCAATTGCTGGAGGAGTCGGGCTTGAAGGCCGGACAAAGGGAGCGCTGTAGGCAGAAGCCATGGTCGGAACGAACGCCCAGAAGATATGGCCCATGGCGTGCATTTTTGGTGAGGATTGTCCAAAGGAAATTGACTTGAGCATACTCTGGGGGCTGCGCACATCTGTGCGGGAATGTCGCACCTGGAGCATGACCCAGACAATTGTTACAACAAGCCAAGTAGCTCGTGTGATTGTTTCTAAGATCTATTTTACTAGCTTGTGACTTGTGTGTGAGTGTGTGCGTGCACCAAGCCCTGACAATGTTCAGACCTTCAAGGCGTATATATATATATATATATTGAATATATTGACAACCTGACTTTGACAGCTCCTTATTCATGAAGCAGGTTGACAAGACATTCTCTTTTGGAAGTGTGGATCGATTCCGATAGAATAGAAAGCCTTTGATTTTGCTACTTGCTGGGGTTCGAGCCATGAGCTGCGTCTGATTGAGAACCCATTCTGCAACCTATTCTGCCGGTGATCTAGCCTCTGAATTGGATGGCTGTGAGAGATGCACCGTTTGGCATATTTGCAGCGGCTTATGGTGCATACTTGCTCCTTGGAAGATATGGGGAGCTTGGGATTGGGTTGGATTATGTAGACGCCATTTCTTTGAGCTGTCCTTGGAAAAGGGGCTAGTTGCTGTGCTGTATGGGCTGAGGTTGCCTTTCCTTTACCTCTTGCTTCCTGGAAACACCGTGAAAACCAGCTGGGCACCTAGCATCACCTAGCACTTCTTGGTTCTCTGGTCCTGGAGTTGAAGTTCTGGAGGCTCGCTACTCTGCTACGCCTCAGGTGCGGTGTTGCCTTGGAGCTGTTCACCATGGTCGGCCTTGACTTCCTTGCTGACCTTGGAAGTGGCGTGTCTTGACAAGACCTTCTTGGGAGGAGACGCCAAGCAACAACAGACAAGCTTGGATGTCACGTTTGCATGCTCTCAGACCAAGGATTGGTGTCTTGTATGCCTTGCTGCGGATTGTCATGCCCTCAGCTTTGGCTCGGCATGAGTAACAGAAGGCCTTTGCTGCATTCAGGTGTGGATCGAGTACCTCCATTGTCTCATCATGCCTTTGAGACACATTCGAGAGGGTTCGTTCGCCCTGGGTTGACCAATACCCTGCTTGGTTTCGATGTGCTGATGTCCATTCCTTTCTCAGGTCTTAGACAAACTCAAATGGAAGCAAGGGCAGAAAGCTTCCTCGCAACACAAGGCGGAAAAGCTCCGACATGTCTTTTGATGGGCGTTGGTCAGTCCGAATCCGAAAGTAGCTCGGCAAGTGAAAGAACAGGTATAGCCGCGTAACCAATACGGTTTTTGACTTGCACCTGTCCGGGATGTTCAATCCTGCGAAAAAAAGAAATCATGAGCTACAAAAGGCATAAGATCAGTTAGAAGCCAACTTTAAGCGGCACGTCACTTGCTGCCTGTCACCACTTTGATGGTTTAGAAGTTTTAAGTTCTTTGTTATGCTCTTGGCAGGATGACCTCCTCCGGATGGCCTATCTCAATGAATCTTGGACAAACCCATGCCTGCCTGTACTCAGAAACAATACTGATCGTTCGGATAATTTCAGATACATATGTGCGTATGCATGGGAGTTGATCTAAATGTCCGTGTATGGGTTTTACAATCTAGAACGACCTCTTACTGTAGATGTTGTCTAAACCATCCGCGAAAGATCCGCGATGAGGTTCGCGAAAGTATCATATCAGGATTATCTTTTGGAGGGGTATTTGTTTTAAAGATTGTTGTTGTTGTTGTTGTTGTTGTTGTTGTTGTTTTTCATTCTTTTTTGGATGTTGTTTTTGTTTCTGCCTCTCGCTGCTTTTGTTGCTTTTCCTGCTTTTCTATGCTTTTTTTGCTTTTCCTTACTTCTCTATTATCTCTCCTGCGTTCCTTGCTTTTCCTTGCTTCTCAGTGCTTCCCTGCTTTTCTTGCTTTTCCTGCTTTTCTGTGCTTGTGTCGCTTTTCCTTGCTTTTCATTGCTTCTTGGCTTTTCTTGCTTTTGCTGCTGGTGTTGTGCTCGGTTTGCTTTTCCTGCCTTCTCTCCTGCTTGGCTTTATTCTCCTTCGTCTCGTCCTTTTGTAGCGTATTGATTCCCTTTCGTAATTGAGAGGTTAAACCGTAGGATACCTTTTGTAAGCGACGAGAGGGCATACAGTTCTGTGCTTGCCCGCAAAAATCAATTTTTAAGACACAACTTTTTCAGTAGTGACATAACACCATCGCAACCCACAGCGGTGGATGCTAAGGGCTACCAGGCTTTTGCCATCTGACATAAGACCTATATATTATATAATTATATATGTTAAGATCAGCGCTCCGTGCTTCCCAAAGTGCACTCCAAGGTTCACAAAACGCTACGCGCCAGGAAATCTGCATGTCCAGCCATACCAGCACCAAAAAAAACAACAATGAACAAGAATAAGAACATAACAAATGAATTCCGGGACCTTATCCTTCCGCAAGTTAGCTGACAAACTAATTACAACTGCATCACCCTTGCACAGCCCTGGCAGTGAGGCAACCACCTGCAGCTCTGACGGGCTGCGCAGATGTTTGCATATGCTATATATGCTATGCCTTCCCGGGGAAGTCATTGGTTAGATTTTGCGAAAGATCCGCGAAAGTTTCGCGATTCTGCCGCGAAAGTCCAGGTTCCAAGCCTGAGGACCCCCAACATTCCACGAGCTGGTAGCCGGCGCGAGGATTCTGTTGAGTTGTGCCTGACTCTATTCTAAACCTCCTCCAGGACCAGGATACTGTTTGTCGCACTGATGTCGCACAGGCTGCAAATGACCTTGAGTAGCTGTGTCAACTCTCAACCTTGTGCTGGGGTCATGCTGCCAGATGTCAGTCATGCTTCGCGACGAGGCCGCGGAAGATCCGCAGTTTTTCCGCGAAGAATAGTGAAGCATGCTCCTAATCTCCTTGGCCCTTTGGCATACCAATCTCTCAGATCAACGCATTTTGCTTAGGCCTTGGACACCGTGCAGGTGTAGACATTGGTCTAGAACTCTTTCAGTAGGCCGACCATCTAACAATACCGCTTGACTCGTGCAGTTGCTTTGAGTCTCCGGGGACTCTTTATGAAGACAAGCCCTCTCAGGTAAGCCTTTGCTTCCTTGGCCGGCTTCATGGACGAGTTTCAGGTGAGGGAGCACGTGTTGGGTGTAAGCAACGTGCACAAACCAGGTCTAACAGCCTAACATCTTCGGTGCCTGCAGGTAAATTCATCCTCCTTGTTACTAGTAGCTTCTTGTTCCTAGTAGTAAGGCCAGGAGCCCCTAAGAGACAGACAATGCTTTCCAGGTCAAAGCTGATGGTTTTCGCGTTTCCCCAAACCCTGTCACAAAGTGGTTTCGGGCTTTGTGATGCGTTCTGGGGGTCTCCCTTCCAGGTGTTTTCTTGATCTTCCTGCTCTACTTCACAGCCTTCTACGCCGTGCCAGCCTTGATCTTGTCATTTCCTCGGGATATACGGTGACCATGCCCTTGCGCATCAGGGGAGACTATACTTATTTCCATTCTTACTGGAAACTGTTAGGAATTTGAGCCTCCCGAGTGGGTAGCCTTTTTGTTGGCTATGTTTGGTTCAAGTTAGTACCCGCGTGACTTGCGCGTATCCCAGATCCAGGAAATCCAAGGCAACCCTTCAAGCCATGTGCCGACTATGTTTTGCCCGATGCATGGAGTGTCAAGAGGTTTCAAGACCAAGCATAGGATTCACCAAGTTACCTCGACAGGCCGAACGTAAGTCCTTTGTCTGGGAAATCAGTTCCTTGTCTCAGACGCACCTCTGAAGTACAGTCTAAAACGGAGGTGGATAGATGAGGTTTGCTTGGTAGCACGCCGCACAGGCGCCCGCGCAATTGTAATCACTTGGTGGAACCAGAGTGTTGTGAAAGCGACATATGCTTCTACACGACGGCATTCCACATTTGTTCTGACTTGGCAAGGAACATCTTCTAACATTTTCACGTATATGACCAGCTTCTTTGGGAGTGCATGGCTCTTCATGGGCCTTGATGCTTCAAATGTCGGAATCACAAGTGTCCCATCGAAAGGTGCTCTTTGAGATGGTGCCTTGGAGCATCCGTTCCTTCAAACGGTTTCTTGGAAGGGTGGGACCACCTTGGCAGAGGTCAAGGAGAGAACACAGAGAGTCCCCCTTTTAGAGGAGAGCTGGGGACTGTGGTAGTATATACACTTTTTTCTTGTTTCTCATATGCTTCTACCTCATTACATTGTTGCAATGATAGGAATTGATCTACCTTATCTCCGTATCTTCTTTCAGTGATATTATACAATACCTGTTGTTGTACTTTACAATAGTACACCCACACCTTAAAAATGTATATGAGGGTCCCCCGTACGTTTGTTCCATTTATACATTTCATTTGCTATTTTACATGCATCTATGTTTGAAAGCTTGGACTCAAACGCGTGAAATCGACAATGGCCTCCCGAGTTCCCAGTGCTTAGATCCGGTCGATCTAAGCGCTGGAAACCTCTCCGTTAGCGCTGGAAGAGCTTCTGGAGCGCTGGAACCACTCCAAAACCTAGCTTCCAGTGCCCCGGACGGGTTCCCGGTGCTTAGATCCGGTGGATCTAAGCGCTGGAAACCTCTCCGGGCCTTCGTCAAGCCAAATTGATCTACGGGAAGGCTTGGTCAAGCAAAATTGATCTACGGGAAGGCTTCATCAAGCAAAATTGATCCCAGATCAATTTTGCTTGACGAAGGCCCGGAGAGGTTTCCAGCGCTTAGATCCACCGGATCTAAGCACCGGGAACCCGTCGGGGGCACTGGAAGCTAGGTTGCGGAGTGGTTCCAGCGCTCCAGAAGCTCTTCCAGCGCTAACGGAGAGGTTTCCAGCGCTTAGATCCACCGGATCTAAGCACCGGGAACTCGGGAGGCCCTTGGGCAAGTGTTTGGCCACATTGGCTAGCCAACCCAGATCCTTAGATCACTGGAAGCTGCTG